GGTCGCACACACACACACACACACACACACACACACACACACACACACACACACACACACACACACACACACACACACACACACACACACACACACACACACACATTCTACACACCAACTTTTTCAGTTAAGTTGATACGCTTTCATTTTAAGCCTCTCAAATATGGAGATTGTCTTCTTTTCTTCACCATGTTCTAAAGTATTGCAACAAGACGCCATCTTGGACTTCAATAAACTGGGATGGACATTTGAACTGTTTACTGTCCTGCACTTCACTACAATCATAACGTATGGGGCATAAACAATGAATTACCATCGACTCAGCTTCTGCACCCTCACTGACCCGGAAACTGCACTGTGTGAGTAGTAGCTAGCATCTAAGCTAGTTCAAAGATGTGACAATAAGATTCATATACAGAAGAGGTTACCTTTCCTATTCAACTAAAACGTTTTTTTATATACACAAGAGATTTCAAACTAGCCAAAAGTCTGTTCTCAAAACGTTGGCTGTGCATTATGTCAGAAAAAGAACGCCAGCGAATGAACGAGCCATAATAAATAGTTCCTGGCATCAACAACTAAAAAACCTAATTTAATTCCACTAAAACCTCCAGCTTAATAGTTGGAACGAGACACTTAAATTAGATTGATGTCGCTAAGTGAACCTGCATTTGCTCTGCACTTTTATTTGTCGGCCTGCAGCTGATGGAATTAAATCGATTGAGCCTTAAGAGTAACACTGAGTAAATTGAGAAGGCCTCTGCGGGTGTGCGCGCGTGTGTGTGACAGCGACAGGGGAAGCAGGGTGTGTGTTTTACGTGGCAGTTAATGTGTTTCCATCTCCAACACACCGCTGATAGGAACCCGAATGAAGGGATGAGTGAGGTTGGAAAAGGGCAAAATCTAATTAAAGTGGAAATGTATGGCCCTGTCAAAACACATCACATATACAAATGCTGACTTAAATGAACACACGCACGCACGCACGCACGCACGCACGCACGCACGCACACACACACACAACACACACACACACACACACACACACACACACACACACACTCAAAGTATGCCTATGAGGGTACTGTCAGAGGAGTCTATCGTCAGTAATGGTTATAGCTCTCTCCTGGGGATTCAGATGCAGATAAATCCTTCTCTGGGCCAGACATCCACCAACACATTTCACTGACTCACACTGAAACGCTGCATATAAAGTGCACTTAGACGCACTAATAATCCAATATTAACCTGATTACAATATTAGCTTCGGCTTGATTTCCGCCACGTGTTTTGACAAACCTGACAAATGTAAAAAGGACAGACACAGCATAACCCTTTTCCACTGAGTTGAGTTCAGTTATAGTCCGTGCTGGGTCTAGTTTAGTTAACAGTTGGTTCGACTTGCGAACAACTTAGGAACCAGTTTGCTTCTCTCAATTAGAGCCCAAAAGGAGCCAAGTCGCGACGTCACTGTTTACGATTTCCGACATAAATTGTGATTTTTACTTTTTTTTACTAAAATCTATCTTCTGATAGTGTGATAATAACTGATGAAATGTTGTTAATGAATGAATTAAACATGAGAGCCAGGGTTTAGGGTTAGGGTTATTCACTGTTAAGAAATGATAATGATAGCAAACGGGTTGCAGTTCTAAAAACGATGCAAAGTTGACAGCACATGCAGCATTTAGAACAAATATTCATCAACTTGAAGTAACAGCGCTTATGTGATTGCATGATTCCTTCCGATATTAATGCAGATCTGCTGTAAGTTAGCTAGCCAACGTAGCTAACGAGAGTAATTTCAAATATACAGCCAAAATACCTACAACTGTAAAACAGACTAACTGTAAAACAGTGAGAGTTGGCCAACTTTATATAATCCTGAATGTCAGAAAGCGCTCCGGTCCCAGCTGTGTGCGTCACTTTTTAGTGTCCACTGGTTTCCGTTGTGTTTTGAGCTCCTTGCAGTGCTTTTGTAATGACAGCGTTTTGTGTTTGCAGTGTTTCGTTTATACTACGCTTTGAGTCAACGGTGCGCATGTGTTGCCAAGGTGTTGAAGATGTTTCTTCATTTGCATGTGTTTTGGCACATTTGTGTTTCTGTACTTGCATCGTTTTTGAAACTGCAGCGCGTCTCTCCTAATGGATATGTTTTAGGCAGTTTTAGAATTTAGCACCTGTCGGCCACAGTATAAAACTCTCCGAAACAAACTATATAAATATATAGATTTCTGATAAAGATCCCTAAAATATGGTATATTGCTTTTTAGAAATATGAGGTGGACTTACTATTTAAAAATACAAACATCCCCAAAATGTCAAACTATCCCTTTAGGCCAGACCTCCTCAAAGTCCGGACTCCGGACCGAACCACAACTGTCTCTGGACTCAAATTATACTTTTCATATATACTTTTTTATATGTATGTATTATCTGTATTATCTGCGAGACATCGCCACAACGCAACGAGTCAAAATTCTCCGCTATGTCCACTGCAAACAGCGCTCTGCATGTCAGACTGTTCCACTGTCTGTGTGTGTCTTTCAACGCTTTGGTCCAATCACATTCAGCATCCCGTCAGCGTTTTTTCCCCCCACCAACAGTCTGCGAATCAGAGGCACAGTAGGGCGGGTCTTCGCAGAACGCGGGTGGGAAAAATCTGTGTGTCGTCTCTTTCAACCTGTCTTAGTCAGAGCGAGAGTTTAAAAAAAAAAAAAAAAGTCAGAGCGAGAGTTGACAGCTCATCTAGTTTCCCCTGTACTGTAGCTAGTAGCCTAGTTTCACCTGTACTGTAGCTAGTAGCCTAGTTTCACCTGTACTGTAGCTAGCAGCCTAGTTGCACCTGTACTGTAGCTAGTAGCCTAGTTTCACCTGTTCTGTAGCTAGTAGCCTAGTTGCACCTGTACTGTAGCTAGTAGCCTAGTTTCACCTGTACTGTTAGCTAGTAGCCTAGTTTCACCTGTACTGTAGCTAGTAGCCTAGTTTCACCTGTACGGTTAGCTAGTAGCCTAGTTTCACCTGTACTGT